GAGAAGGATGCGTATTCATGGTGAGGACAGTTGTTCATTCCCCCCCCCCCCCAAATTTTCTTTTTCTTTCTACACAGAGGTCACAGAAAACAGAATGGCAGCTTGCTGACAGCAGGTCTCTAGTCTCCTAGCATTGCTTTTTCAAGGCTCACAAGGAGCTGTCTTGGGTATAGAAAGGTGGTGAAGTCTTAACTTTGGTTCTTGTTTATGTCACATGACTCTGTTCTTCATGTCACATGCTTGCAGTTTAGTAGGTGCCATGTCGCTTTCTGGGAGTAAATATGAGTTCTAGTTTAAAGGTTGAAGACCTCTATAATAGACGATCGGTACCATGCTTTGTATTATTTTCAGCTTCTCTTGGCCTTGGAAATCTTATGTCTTATCCATCTGGCTAATTCCTTCTACATTAGGGATAGGGTTTTTTAAATCCAGGATTACTTCTTCAGTAGAATTAATTGTGTTTGTATCGGTCAGTTCAGCCCTTCCAGCTTTCCTCATTTATTTGGGCTTGAGTCATCCATTTAAATAATGATTTTGGTTTTTAGGGGATCCAATTTTACCACAATGTCATAGAAATTTACACCTAAACTTCCTAACTTAACTAGATGTCAGAGTCCCAAGTCAAACAAGCTCAACAGCGTTCCTTGATAAAGGTGCGGTTTATTGAGAAAGGTACTCAGGTCATCATACGACACACTTTGTGCCAGGAATGGGGGGTTAAGCGGGAATACGGACTATTATACCCAGTTCATACAGGTCCCCCCGATGGGCGCAGACCAATAAGCAGGAGCAAGCAAGCGCGCGCAAAAGAAAACGGCCCTCAGCCCTCAGTGGGAAAAAGCTGTGCAGCCAAGCAGGGCTCCAAGGCCACAGGAGAGATAACGGGAAGAAGCCTGGAGCGCATTCCAGGAGGAGAAGGGAGGGCAGTGGAGGGAAGACGGGGAGCCCAAACCATGGCGACATCAGCCAACACTAGAGAGAGAAAGGGGACTGTACCTACCGCTTTCATAATTAGACAGTCTAATTATCTTGTTTGCTCAGATAACTTAACTCTACAGTTTTCTTTGAGCTGTGGTGGCTGAAGTGGTTAAGACGCTGAACTGCAGGCTGTGGAAGGTCAGTAGTTCAGCAGTTCAAGACCCGGGTGCCGCAAGATGGGGTGAGCTCCCGTCTCTAGTTCCAGCTCCTGCCAACCTAGCAGTTCGAAAGCAAGAAATTGCAAGTAGATAAATAGGTACCACTTCAGTGGGAAGGTAACAGCGTTCCGTGCGCCTTGGTGTATAGTCATGCCGGCCACATGACCACGGAAACGTCTTCGGACAGCGCTGGCTCTTCGGCTTTGAAACGGAGATGAGCACCGCAACCCTAGAGTCAGACTCAACTGGCTTTCGAGCAAGGGAACCTTTACCTTTACAGTTTTCTTAATCATGTCTGTTAGCTCAGTTCTCAGTTGATCAAGTCTCTGTTTCTTGGAAAGATAAGCATTGTTGAAAACCACAGCACAAACCACCTCAACAGGTAGTATGAGTAGGCTTGTAGAGCCAGTGGGCTGTGTCTCGCAGTCTGTGGATGCAAGGACTGCAGATCTTTCCTGCATCCCCCCTTTCTCACAGCAGTTCTTTCTGACCTCAGTAAAATTTATTCCCAGGGTGTGGGATCTGGGATCTATGTGGACTAATCGCCATATGAGCCAGAAGGCTGCAGTGAAGAGTGGGCAGGGATGAAAGGGCTCTTTCTTACAGCAGTGCAGATCTACTGACAGAAGACAGGGTGGCTTCCTCCACCTCCCTCTGTAACCTTCCAATATGGCTACTATTCCACACGGGCTATTAGTCTGTACAAGAAAGGGGACCCGCGAAACTCACGGGGGGGGGGCAGGGGAGCTCCACGCAGAGCAGGCAGAGGCAGCAGCAGCAGGTAAGCTTCCCCCCATCCCGCTGATTCCCCACATCCCGCTGATTCCCCACCACCACGTCTCCTCCACCCCCCCTCCACCATCACCACCCCCCGGCTCAGGGGGCGAGGCCTGAGTGGCCAGCAGCTGCCAGGCCTCCTCCCTCCCTCCCTAGCAGCAGCAGCGAGGCCGGCCGGCCCACCAAGCTTCGCCCCCCCCCATGCAGCGCAGCAGCGGCAAGGCCGGCCGGCCAAGCTTCACTCTCCCTCCCCAGCAGCGGCGGTGAGGCCGGCTGGCCCGCCAAGCCTCCCCCTTCCTCTCTCCCCAGCAGCAGCGGCGAGGCCGGCTGGCCCGCCAAGCTTCCCCCTCCCTCCCTCTGCAGCAGCAGTGAGGCCGGCCTGGGAAGCCTTCTCCCGCCCTCCCATCCACTGTGGCGGCGAGGGCGAGGCAGTTCGCAGAGTGTTCCCTACGCATGCGCAGGGGACGCTCTTTTACTTTTGGGGGGATTTAAATATCCCCCCAATATTTTTTTTCACCTTTTTAGATTTTTGTGCACACTGGGGACTGCCCCAAGTGTGCAGGAAAATCTCCCTGCCCCCCAGGTGCCCCCAGTGTGTGGATTTAGATATCTGCACACACTGGGGACACCTGGCTATTAGTATATAGATAGGTCTCATGACCCTGGGAATAAACCTTTTTGAGGCTGGAAAGGACTGCTGGGCAGAGGGGAATGAGGCAGAGACCTGTAAGTGCCTTCTGCTAGTGGATCCCTGGATCCTGTCTGTGAGTCTTTTCTCCCTTCCTCCTTTATCTTTTCCTGTATTCCCTCGGGAGTTGTTTTATCCTGACCCTTTTACTGGCCATTGTCCCTTCCTCCAGGATGGTATGGTACGTCAATAACTGGAACTCTTGACTCAGTCTTTAGAGTACTTAAAACCAAGAGTGAAATATAAGATTGCAAAGGGGTGGCTGTATTAGTCTGTCACAGCAGAATAAAAAGTCCAGTAACACCTTAAAGACGAACATTTATTTCAGTATGAGCTTTTGAGTCACAGCCCACTTTAAATGTATGAAGGGAAGATTGTACCGGGAAATCTGATGGGGAAGATTGTGGCATGGGGAGTACCAAGGGTTGGTATTAATTACACCATGAGTCTTACATATCAGCGGAAGTTAGCTGTGACTTATGAAATTTCATATTGAAATAAATATTGGTTGTCTTTAAGGTGCTAGTGGAGTTTTGTTAAATATATGGTGACAGAAGGTCTTTGAGTAGTGGGTTTGGGGTATCAAATATACTAAGTTGTATCCAACCACCATGTGCACTTCCATCCTTAGCTGTGTGCAGTGTTGGATACAGGCCAGGGTATTGCTGTGCTAACAAACTACTCTGGCTTTTTTGACTGAATAAAGCAAAAAGGTGATTCCTGCTTTTATCTTTAAGCATTCTATGCTTTTATCTTTAAGCATTCTATGCCTTATTTAGAAAATATTAAACATATTGAGGTGTAAAATAACTCACGTATATTGCTGATCATTTTAAAAAGTTGACTATTTTTCAGGGAGTATCTGTGTGCACTATTTCTCATTTTTTAGGTCTGTCTATGGTTTTTCTTAGAATACACACTCATAGGTAGAATGAAAATAAAATGAAAACAGTACTGTGATGTCGTGGTTAAGTGTGCGGACTCTAATCTGGGAGAACCAGTGATTCCCTACTCCTCCTCCACTTGCACCTGGCTGGATGACCTTGGGCAAGCCATAGTTCTGGTAAGAGCTGTCCTTGAAAAAGAGCAGTTTCTGTCAGAGCGCTCTCAGCCCCACCTACCTCACAGGGTGTCTGTTGTGGGGAGGGGAAGGGAAAGGAGGTTGTAAGCCGCTCTGAGACACTGTTGGGTAGTGAAGGGTGGGATATAAATCCAGTCTCTTCTTCTTCTTCTTCTGATAGGAGAGGGTATAGAATGGTGATCATGAGACTGACTATATTTGTTACAACAGCAATAAAGCTTAACAGTGAAACAATCTTTGTCTAGTCTGTCCTGAACAGTAATGATTTCACTGGCTTCTGGGCTTTTGCCCCTGTAAATGGCTAGTTTTTCAAATAATCCTAAAATTGAAGTCAGCAATGCTGGCTCTATGGCAGGTAACCATTGCTTCCAGGGGTCTAGTTTACCTAATCTATTATTCAGGTTGCTCACAATGCTATCCTAAGCAGAGTGTAATGTATTGACATCTCATGATGTGTAGACTTCTGAATTTGTTGTAATTGCTTCTGTGTTTCAGAATAACCTATATATAATTGATGCGTAGAATTCTGAATGGACTGGTCACTTTTGAGTTACGTGGGTAATTTAGAGAACCCCCCCCCCCCATCAGCTCTTCTTGTTTGCCTAGTTGTATGCATCTGCCTTATGCATCATGGAATTCTATCACATTGTCATGCAAAACAATATATGTGAAAGTAAGGTTTTATAAAAGTATTTTAAAACATAACACATTTTAAAATGTGTTTTAAAACAGTAGATTGTCTTTCAGTATACATTTCATGGATAATACACTGGACTACAGAAGAGAGTTCATCATATTTTTGGTCTTTCTTTAAATGTCCGTCAGTGCTGGATATTTTTACCCATCAGTTCTTAATGTTTTGACAACTGCAAAATTCTGGCAGAACAGAGATCCTGTTGAGGTAACATGCATGTTCTTTCAAAGTGTAGCTCTTTAGTAGACTCAGGTTTTTGCGAGTTTGCTCTGATGTTCTCAGTATAAAAGCAAGCCATTTGTTGGTTTAAGCTTCAGTTTTATTATGATAAAACGAAGCCAATGCAAACTTTAAAGGAGTTAATATATGTTCATTAAGCTTGTTAATTTTTTTCCTCCTTAAATGAATTAAGTTCATTCATGTGTTTGTACTAAACAGACATGCCCCAACGGACAGCCCCTTTCCCTTAAAAGTAGAACTCCGCTCTCAGATCTCTGTGAAGGTATTTTACAACACTGTGGTTTCTCTTGAATATTCTTAATGTGCTGCAGGTAGAAAGCACTTAACTTTTTCTTTTTTCTTTTCTAGGTAAAAGGAAGAACTCAAGATGAGGAGCTGTAATTGTTTAAAGAGTTCTAAAGCAAATATCAGTGAATAAGGATTTTGGTTTTACTTGTGTGAAGAAAGCCTGGTCATGGATCAGTTTGGATCAGACTGAAGACATAGAAGCCGAGGGGCCTGGTCAGCATCCTTCCTTCCTTTTCTTTTCTTTTTTCCTCCTCACTGTCAGTTGCATTTTGGATTTTTAGCAGCATATTTGAAAACTGAGATCAAGTCTCTGTTTCTTCTCAGCTGGGCTTTCTCTGGAGACAGTTGATTCATTAAAGGTGCAGATTGAGATATAATTGACAGTATTTTTTTTTAAAGATAAAACTCGTCTTGTTTAAAGATTTGGGGCATTGTATGGAAGGGAACAAATAGGAAAACTAAAACACAGGACCAGCCCTTCAGCATGCCCCCCACTCCCGCTTGAAAGAAAAAGGATTTACAGCTCAACCTTGCACCAGCTGTTACCCGGATTTAGCAGTCAAGAGAGAAATAAACGAAATTAAACAACCACTGCCAGACAGCCCTAGTTCCTTGTGGAATCAGGAGAGAGTGCTTCTGCCTCAGGAGAGGAAGACTTGGGGGTGGGGCAGGGAATTCCTATGCGCAAGACTGACAGATTTGCTAGCAGGATAACCTTTCATTCAGCAGCAACCAGCATGCATTGCTTTGCACCAAGATCAGATTAAAAAAGAAAAGGAGAAGCTTCCCCCAAAATCTGAGCTGGAATGTACTGTGGGCCTTGTTTTAAAAAAAACAACCAAAACCTCTGGTGAAAATCTGGTGTCATTATTGATCAACGTTTTGGGAATGTGCACCTGGCTCAACCTGCCCATTTGCTCTTAACAAGTCACGCGGCTTTATTTGCTACAGTTCTCAGCTCTTTGTGTCACCTTCTGAAGAGGATCAGCTCTGCAAGCGACTTTCTTTCAAAGTTTGCCTGGTGCAGGAACTTTAGCCACTGAAACGTTAAATTGGAGCGCAAGCTTATATTTTTAAATATATTTTTAAATTGTCCCCCAGAAATCTTGGGAGTTGGTATAGAATTCTCTTGATTGTCTGCTTTGACACTTCAGTTCTGAATACTTATTTTTTTTCTTTCTGTTGCTGGTACCAGTTCATCTGGATTACACTGTAAATCTGATCTGATTCTGGTGTATCAGTTTCAAGAACCTTTCCCCTTCACACAGTTGCTTTCCTTTTTGAAGGTCCCTCTCCCCATTTTTGTGTCCATTCTGACTTCAGTTGGGCCTGGGCTATGCTGCAGGGCGGATCATCCACCAGATCTCCAACATGCCAGCAGCATCTGGAAAGAGATTCAAACCCAGCAAGTATGTCCCAGTATCGGCTGCTGCAATCTTCCTAGTAGGAGCCACCACTCTCTTCTTCGCTTTTACGTGAGTTAACAAAGTATTTAGTTTCTGTTGAGAGGCCTGAGCTAGCAACAGGGTCTGGACAGGAGACTGTTGTGTGGAGAATATCCAGTAGCGCCATTTCTTTCTATGTTGGCTTTGCAGAGATAGTTGTCTGATCAAAACAAAGCATCAAGAGCCCATATACTTATTTCATAGTCCCATGGCTGAGAGAAGAATATATAATTATAAAATCACAGTGGGAGAAATCTGACTTGATCTTAAACCATAATTTCCCCTGCTCAGAATGCACACTGTTTTGGAGATTTGTGTTTAAAGTCTGCAGGCATGCTGCATATAAGTTAAAGGGAAAGTATTAGATCTGGTTCATGTTCAGTGGACAAGATTCATGTCCATTTCTGTGCTGTTTCCATTCCGGCAGCTCATAAAAAAGGAAATTCTCGGAAGTAACAGATTTCATGTAAGGGAAATCTTAATTGTAATGCAGATAGGACATAATGTTTCATACTGTAAGGATTTTCGAGGAAGCTCATGCTTGGCATCGTCATTGAGGCTATCCCAAGATAATGATGGTGACTGAGGGTCTACCTGCCGTATAAAGTGGCGTTGCCCTGTGCCAGACAGAAGGGTTGAGCTGTTCCTGCTGTTTGCCAGCTGTAGCCCAAAGTTGTCCTGCCCTGGAAGATCTACCAGTAAAAGCAGCATCAGTCACTGAGGTGTCTTAACGGCAGAGCAGCTTGCATGTCCATTAAATGCTAATAAAAAATATTCAACTGAAGTTGCAAGATAGTTAGAAGAGTCTGAAGATCATGTCTGGATTTCCTTACTGTAAATGTTTTGTATGCTTCAGAATCTTGCTCTGTCTAGTGAGGCAGTGGAAATCCCGTGTGCTGCATTATTCTTTAGTCTTCTTCTGGTGACACACCCTTAACGTAATGAGCTGAACTAGTTGCAGTCCAATATTTGTGGTATACTTTCATGTAAGAAATGGACTAAACTCGGGCTATCATGTGAATGGATTGTAGGGGAGAAAACAGATAAAATTGCTTTCTAGACGAAAAACAAACTAGGGGAGAAGGTCTCATCGTGGCACCCATTGTGGTGATCCTCTCCCCAATGCTGTTCAATATCTATAGGCACCCTCTCGCCCAACTAGTCAGGAGATTTGGGCTATGCAGATGACAGCCAACTGTATCTGTGAATGGACGGCCGGCTGGATACCATCCCAGAAGGTCTGGCCACTTGTTCGGAGGCTGTGGTGGGGTGGTTAAAGCAGAGCTGCCTGAAGCGGAACCCACTGAAGAGGGAGGTCTTGTGGCTAGGCTGGGGGGTCCAGGTCAGGGAATTCAGCTTCCCACTCTTGGTGGAGTACAGCTCGTACCGGCTCCCTCCATCAAGAGTCTGGGTGTGATTCTAGATGCCTCCCTTTCGTTGGAGGCTCAGGTCACAAACACGGCCCGGGCAGTGTTTTTCCATCTGTGCCAAGTCTGGCAACTGACTCCTTACCTGTCCCGTGCGGACCTGGCCGCAGTGATCCATACAACAGTCACCTCTCGATTAGATCAGGTTCAAGGTTTTGGCTCTTACCTTCAGGGCCCTAAACAGTCTGGGGCCATCATATCTGCGGGGCTGCCTCTCCCTATATGCCTCTCAGAGAGCCTCGTGCTCTTCTGGTAAGAAAACTCACTAGTGATCCCTGGCCCCAAAGAGGTCTTGCTGCCCTCGATCAGGCCTTTCCAGCCCTGGCCCCAGCCTGGTGGAACTCTCTGCCTAGTGACAGGCGGGCCCCGTGGGACTTGGCTCAGTCCCGTAGTCGGGCCTGTGAGACAGAGGTGTTTCACCTGGCCTATGGTGTGAGGGCAGTGACGGTTAGATCTGCCGGCCTCCCCCCCCCCTTCCTCTGTGCTGGCTGCCCCCCGTTGTCCCACCTGTGATGAATATTAGGGCGCCATCTGATGTACTAAAGATTTTTCAGGTTTTAATTTATAATAATGTGGATTTAATTTGTATTTTATTTTGACTGGGTTGTGTTTTTTTTGGCGTTTTTGTTTTTGTGTGTGCGCCCATGCCTGGAAGTCATGGCGACCCCTGGCAACTCCTACTGGGGCACGGAGGACATTCAGAGGAGAGGCTTGATGGCCTGCCTCTGGCCTCTCGGCCCTGGTGTTCTCTGGAGGTCTCCCGTCCAAGTCCTTGCCCGGGTTGGCCCTGCTGAGCTTCCGAGACCGGATGAGACCGGGCTTGCCTCCTGGGCTGCCCAGGTCAGGGCCGTATTTTGACGGTTGTAATCCACCCTGAGCCCTGCTTGGCAGGGGATGGTGCGGGACACAAGTCTAATGAAATAAATAAATATTGTCAATAGATCATCCTTAATTCATCTTCAAGTACTTGTTTCAAATATAAGAGTTACCTGACCATGTGTCTGGTATTCTGTCTTTGAAAATGGCCAGCAAAATGCCTTTGCAAACTCACAAACATAGCAATGGCCTTCCCCTGTTTTCCTCACAGTGATGTGAGTTTTCCTAAAAACATGAATTATTTTCAGTACCTTAAAACGGGTTGGATCTGACCTATAATGTTTGCATTCCATTTCGAAAACACAGTTAAAGTATTTCATTTTACATATTACATAAATACATCAAAAGTTCTTCTATTAGCTAAAAGTAACCTGAAATATTTGATTTGGGGAAAATCAGTGGAACACACAATGTGGTTTAAATGTTATACTCAAACTTAGACTTTACTTGGAAATTATTTTTGTTGGAAAATTCCAGATATTTTAATTCATCTCTGTTACATACACTTTCCTCATTAAATTATAAGGGGAAAATGTGGAAACAGTTAATATACTAACTACTATGTTCAAAGAGCTGAGATGATATTACTGGTCTATTTCTAGTGTTCACTTTCACTGATTGCCTCTTCAGTTTCACTTTTTGTTAGTTTTTTTTATGGTGAGGCAAGCCTGCTTTGCAACTGCTTGAGCCCTGTTCACTAAAAGAGGGTTCTCTCTGTGATCAGTATAGCTAGGTTGATGGAGTGCTGGTGGCTACATGCTGGGCTCTGACCAGGAACTCTGCAGTTCAGATCACTGCTCAGAGTAATTGGTTGGCTTTGGACCAGTTACAGAATTTTTCACATGAACAAAATCCACTCTAAATTACCGAGTGTACTGCCTTTGACTTAAGAGGTTCTGTTTTAACCAGAAGCAGTAGCTAGGTGTGGTCCCCCATGAACGTGCACTTACCATCTCACTGTAGTGAGTTCCCTAGAAGTCACATACTCCAAATATACTGCCATTCAGTTCTTTGACCCTGAGTAGGGGGAACACATTTTGTTTGCACACCGTTATAGTTTTATAAACGTCTCATGTCCTCTTTTTGGCCTTTGTTTGAAGAGAAAGTGTGCTCTGGGTTATGTGTGGAAAAATTGCTTAATTTCTGCTTGATGGTTGGGGTCATCTATCACTGGTGTTGATCAGCAGGCTTTGTCTGGAGTATGTGACTATTTATCACGATGGTTATTAGAAGGATTTACTTGATGCACAGGAGAGTGTTTCTGTCATTGAATGTAAGCACATTCAACCTGTGTCTTCTACCTGTGCAGTCTGCTGATCTTTTTCTGAACCAACATGCGGGGGGGGGGGGTACAGCTCATATAGTCAACAACCCAGAATAACAAATAAGCTGTAATAATGCTAAAAGCGCTTATAATCTTACAAAATTACAGAAATTCAAAAAATCAAAGCATATAGTTCAATCATCTAGCAGGTGCAAGTGGAGGAGTGGGGAATCAAACCCGGTTCTCCCAGATTAGAGTCCGCGCACTTAACCACTATACCAAACTGAAAAAGTTTAGCTGCAGGATCAGTTTTAAAGGGCATTCTTTGGAATGAGTCACATGACTGTTTTAACAAGCACAGGTTATTAAATAATATATTCCACAGCTAACATTTACGTCTTCCCACTTGAAGCAGCATACAGCAGGGAGCTGGGGTTCTCCATTGCATATTATGGCAGTGAACACGAGTGGAGGATATGTCTGTATATTTAAAGTTCTAGTTTTTGTGTGTTTGTAATGTGTACATATGTCAAACTCGGGCCCTCGTTTGCCATGGATTTTTTGATTTCCTGTCTTTGATGCATGTATCTGTATGTTCATTGTCTTGTTTCTTTTTCCCTGGGAATCAGGAGTGGGGACTGTGTGAGTGGAAATGCTTTGCTACGAGCTGTGCTAGCTTGTAATTGTGTTTATGTGGGGCCTTCCTTCGATGGGAAGAATGCATGCTTGACTTTGAGTACTAGACACTGCTTGCAGGCACTGTGTGATAATGTAACCCTAGGCTTGCAGGTGGTTGCGGAGGCCTAACGGTACACAGTAGATTTGGCGGGCTGCATGGATGGGCTGATTGGACTGGTCACTGGGGTGTTTGAATTATGTATAATTGGAGAACTGGCACCAAAGGCATCAGTTCTGACACGAGTTCATCCACACTTGAAACTTCTTAATCTCTCCCCCAGGCGCCTCAATGCTAAGCAACTACGTTGGGCAGAATTCTTCTCCAAGTTCCAGTTCACACTTAACCACCTCCCAGCAAAGTCAAACTTTCTCACTGATGCACTATCACGCCTCCCGTACCATGCCAGTCAGTGGGAGGAAGTCATTGACTAACTTCACCCCTACCCAACTGGAGGGGGGAGGCCCCTCAGTCCTGAGCCCTGGGTAGAAAAATTCAAAGCAGCCTTTAGCGATGCCGATGAGGAGGAGGTGGAGAAAGGGTGAAATGAGTGCTGGTACTGCCAACATAAATTATTCATGCCCTGTTCCCTGCGTGGGGAAATCTTGCAGTTGGGGCATGATAATAAACTGGCTGGACATTTTGGGTATCTAAAGACTTTATGCCTCATAGGCAACTTTGGTGGCCGCACACGTGGGCCAATATCTCTCAATACGCATGTCAAACTCGGGCCCTCATTTCCCATGGATTTTTTTGATTTCCTGTCTTTGGTGTCTGTATCTGTATT